ACTTAATCCAAAGATAGATATGCTTCTGATCAGTCATAAGGCAGATCAGGATTCAGCATGCGCCAGATGGGGTTACACTCCTCCTAAAACTCAGGTTTGTAACTTGGCATACTCCTAGACTCAGATCCAAATCTGAACATCAAGGCCAGGAGTGCATTAGTGCACCTAAAACACGTGCACCAGCTGTGCCTATACCAGGAGACGAGAGATTTGGCTACAGTGGCACATGCTGTCTATCCATCACTATCTATGAGGGGGTATCGTAAAGTTTTAATTATCACCTTTCATTTTTTTTACAGAAAGTTTGTTTTGATTTGTAGCTGTTAACTTATCTCTACGTGTGTGTGACTCAGCCAAGGTCACCCAGTAGGTTTCCATGGCTAAGGGCAGAAACGAACCGTGATCTCCAGGATAGTAGTCCAGCACCCAAACCACTATACAAGGGGTAGGCAACCTTTCCCCTTTAAGGATAGTCATATTTTCCCTGTAACCAGAGCCAGGTATGGTATAGTGCAAGGGTAGGCAACCTTTCCCCTTTAAAGGCCGAGGGACTTCAGCTCCCAGAATCCCAGGAGCTATTGGCCAACATGGGACTATTGGCCAACATGGGACTATTGGCCAACACGGCTGAGGCTTCTGGGAGCTGAAGTCCCTCGGCCCTTAAAGGGGAAGGTTGCCTACCCCTGCACTATACCATACCTGGCTCTGGTTACAGGGAAAATATGACTATCCTTAGGAAAAGAGATTCCACCTCAACATTCCACAGCTCAAAACTGTGATCCCTCATGAGAAACTTCCTAAACATCCCTAAACAGCTTTAATGCTTGTAGCTACAGTTTCCCCAAGCACAAAGTACAAAAATCAAAACTTATTATCAAAACATATGAATGGTCTGCTGTCACATGTAATAAGCAACCCCCTTTTCATGTGGAGAATTAAATACATTCAGCATAAGAAACACACTGACACACACCTTACCTCTTCAGGTAAGAAGTCTCTGAAACTTCAGACCTGAGATTTTAATCTTTTGTATCTCATTTGGAAAAACCCTTTCAATTAGATTCTAAGAATACAAGCCTAGCCCTCTGATGTTTGATAAAAGAGTCTTACTTCAAAACACTCCTTTGATGGGTTTTGGGGGGGTGTAGGAGTTGGGGTCCCCTCCATGCTGTAAATCTGGGTATTTTTTGTTGTTGTAGTTTATACTTTGACTCATATCTTATCCTTTCAAAGTAAAATGTTGTTTGTTTTTAATAGCCACAAGCTACCCAGAAATATCCCCTGAGGCAAAGAAATCAATTTTTATTTCAATCAAAATGTTTGACAAACCTGAAAAATATCACTACATTTTAAATTGCCTTTCTAAAATATCCATCTGTGTTCCATTTAATATATTCACTTATCTTTAAAAAAAACAACTTGAACTTTTAGGTATGTCGTGAATAGTAGTACAACTATGTTACAAAATAAGCAACGGAATTTAGTTCATGCACAAATAATGTTCAGATATTCAGCTTAGAACCTCTACTGGGAATGGGGTGGGGACTGGTTATCCAAATATTGTCACAGATGTTCTAGCTACTTGTTATAAATTATTATAAGGATCTAAGAATATAAATTACATAGCAAAGGCTTTTGCACCTATTCATAGTGGGAAATCAACAATACAGGAGGAAAAAGGAAAGAGAAGCTTTTACAGAGCAAATCTTGCCAGGGTGTGGATCCCATTCCCCAATGTTTACCAAGCATTTGAACCCTAGTCCCCAGGAGTCCGATTCTAACACTCAAACCACTAGATCACAGTAGCTCTCATCAACATTGCACAGACATTCAATGAGTGCACCATAAAATCATTTCAAGAACTAAAACAATTTTAATTTTATATGGTGATTATCAACAATTTGCTCTAAACATAATAGAGAATTTTCTTAAGGCTGCTAAGAACTCCCTTGAATTTGATAGTCCTGATGAGAAATCTGTACTTAGGACAAGAGACTACTGTCAGAACAGAATACGAAGAAATAGAATGGTTCCCAATTGGCAAAAGGGTCAGGCAAGGCTGCATACTAGCACTCTATCTATTCAACTTGTATGCAGAAAATATCATACATAGAGCAGGTTTAGACATGGAATAAAGAAGAGTGAAGATAGGAGGAACAAACATAACAATTTGGGATATTATTAGTGGAAAGCATCACAGACTTGGAACAATCACTAAAAAAAGTCAAAGAAGAAAGTGCAAAGGCAGGCCTAATGTTAAACAGAATATGGCAGCCAGATTGGTCTCTGGTACATCCAGAAGAAACCATATTACCCAGTCTTAAAAAGACTTCACTGGCTGCCAATCAGTTTCCAGGCCCAGTACAAGGTGTTGTTTATTACCTTTAAAGCCCTACATGGCTTGGGTCTATCCTATCTTTGGGACTGTCTCCTTCCATATAATCCCACACCCACACTACGGTCCTCTGGGAGGAATTGCTTCAGCCTGCTAAAACTAGACTGTCGACAAGCTCCCAGAGGGCTTTCTCGGAAACCGCTCCCAGATTATGGAACGGCCTGCCGGACGAGATCCGTCAATTTACCAACTTAGACAGCTTTAAAAACGCTGTCAAGACGGATCTCTTTTGGCAGGCCTTTCCTGATTAAATTCCCAGCCAAGCAGTGACTCACTCT